TGGGACCTGCCCTGTGGCTTCAAAATCAGAGCGCTGCATTAGCACTGTCGCACGGCATCTGGCCAGGGCAGGTAGATTTCTGAAGGCCGGAAATACCAATGGGAAAGCTGAAGACATACAGAGGTGGAGACTGCCAAAGCCTGCCCGCACTTCTTTGGGGTTACTCCCAACAGGAAATTCCACACACCCCTGTCAAATGGGGGAAATGGCATCCTGGGTCCAAAGCAGCCCCACCCCGCCTGGCCCCAACCGCCTGGAAGAACGAGGTGCACTGGACAGGAACGTGTGCCAGGCCTGGGCCAGCCTCGGCCTGGCTGGGAGGAGGCTAGTTCCTATCTGTGACTTGATTAGAACAAGATTACTGTGATCTTTGAGCCCCAAGGCTGGGTGTTGTAATCGGTCCCTGTTACGGAGCACGGCAAGGTTTCAGAGGTCAAGACCAAGCCACACTCTCCTCGACCTCACTGGCAGTGGAGCCGGCATCGTGCCAGGGGCCCTACAGGGCGCTTGCTCACTCCGGGTGTGCCCACACCGCGCCCCACCTGATGCCCAGGTGCACCTTCCTGAAGTCCTGGCTTCGAGTTTGGTTCTGAGACATGTACTGCCTCAAAGTCCACTACCCACATACCACCTCTACCCTCCCCGAGTTCTGGGCAAATGAAGAACCTTCTCCCCTTCCCGAGAGTCCTCAATTCCAAGAGCTCCGGAGTCCGGCTTGCGAAGGAACGGCTTTCACTTCTCTGCTGTCCCAGCTACTGGCTGCAGGAAATTCTGGCTGGGGTGGGGTGTCCCTGGGGTGATACGGGACCACAAAATGCCCGCAGAGGAAATGTAAATAATGAGGCTGTGGGACCACAGGACTGGCAGGGCATGTGGGCACATGGTTTAAGCACTGCCAACTAATGCATGGAAAGAATGTGAAACCGTGCACGGCCCCACGTGTCACACGTGGGCCCAGACATATCTGAGTCACTGTGATGTGGTCCATACCCCCAAGCCACAAGGAAGGAGACCGTGACAAGGTCACACTAGTAATTACAGAGAAAAGCCAGGATAAAAATTACCCGAAGTCCGGGCCAGTGCTACCTGAACACAGTGCTTAGTTGTGCACTGGGAGGTGACACTGCAGGAGGCCACACAGCAGATGACAACTCTGGACTGGATTATCAGACATGGATGAGCCTTGGTGCCTGGTACTGCACCGTGTGCACAAATGACCGAAGCAGGGGTGACCGTCACTCAACCCTGTGGGGTCCATAGGTCTCAGAGGAGGACGGTGGTGACACCAGCACCGTGAGGTGGGAAGAGGGGTGCAGCCTCTCTGCAGGTCCTGCCAGAAGGGCTGCCTCAGCACCAAAGCCGGTTAAGGAAGAGGAATCAGCAAGCAAACTCAGACACTGTGACCGACAACCCAGCGCCAGGGACCCCAGCAGGGACGGGCTCCAGGGCTCCAAGAACCGGCAAGTCGGGGGAAGGGCAGGTAAGGCCCCCATCCACGTAAGATCTACCCTACAGCAGCAGAAGTCTGGCCTCACAGCCCGTGCCATGTCGCCCTCGGCCCAAGATGGAAGTCAGTGTGTAAGTTCCAAGTCCGACAATGACTCACCAGGAATGTCCTCATCCTCACACATACACGCACAGGCCGTCACACTCAAACCAAACCTCCAGGCCTCCCGACTCGGAACAGAGCAGTGGGGCCAGTCGCCTCTCTGGGCAAACCTCAGGCCTTTCTGTCCTTGCCAATCAGCAACAAACCCCTCCTGCAGCTCCTCCGAGGGCTGGTCCGCAAAGCCAGTGAAGAAGTCAGTGTGGCCTTTTAATTCCATTCCATTGTGGGCTCCCGAGAGTGCTGCAGACAAGGGGCCTGAAGTCTGCCAGACTTTCCCATAACCAGGGCTCAGCAACGAACCACCAGAAGGGGAAAGGCTGCTGGGGCGGGGCGGGCGGGCCTGCGAAAACACATAGAGCACTTAAAGCTCGATTAGAGACCCTGGTTTGCATGCAATCAGAGAAATGACTAATGAGGGCCAGTAATCAGAACTCAACTATACTCTCATTCATGCTGTTTCAGAACGAATTTCTGAACCTAGTCACTAGCTTGAGCAAAACCCAATCTGCCCAGGCCAGAACTGCCAGAACTGCCAGAACTGTTCTGCTCGCCCCCTCAAAATCAAACCTGCGGTGGCTCCCCCTTGCTGCTGCCGAGGCTTCCTGTGCACAGTGGAAGCAGCGATCAGGTCAGAGCAGCCCACTCTTAGCCCTGGAGCCTGGCCCCGAGCCCTGGGCCACACACAGATTCCTCCCTGACCCCGCCCTCCCAACCCCTGCGATCTCCGGTCCCTGTGTGGTCTGAAGCCATCAAGTCACACTCCTGTCTTATTCTCAGAGCATCCTGCTATCTCTCAGAAGCTCAACCTGAGACTTCCTTGCAGCCTGTGCTCAGGTCTCAGACGTGCACAGATCTGCTTACAGGAAACCGGCTGGGGACCGTCTCAACCCTGAGCGGGCCAGGGCTTCTCCACTGCCCTGTTCTGAAACTAAGCCTCAGCAAACTAGCACTAGCTCGGGGCCCACAGGGCGGCACCCAGGTCTGCGCTGGGTCGCCTGGCTAAAGTTTCCTCTCCCCAAAGGGTCCCCTCTGTTCCTGCCATGTGCACTAGATAAAGGAAACTCTGA